GTTAATCTTATATCCCATATATTTTTCTTGTATTGTTTACTTTCGAATACATTTTTTCATTGCACTATTACATTACAATTATTTAACTTAAGTATATTTATGGTGCTAAATAAAAGATTGTCATTGTCATTGTCATTGTCCTAGTTTTCAATTTTTATTTTCTAAATGATTTCACAGTGAATTTTTTAACGCTTTCAAGCGAGAGCGTTTCACATGTTATAAGAAGGATAAGCGAAAAAATGAATGAAATTTTAATCGAGTTGAGCATAGTTAATATTAACTATGAGCTGAGTCACCAATATGGCGGCTATAACGGAGCAAGCCAACAAGCCAATCAGGAAGCCAATTTAGTTTCAGCTACGTCATTTATATTAGTAACTACGGTGGCCACAAGCTTATTATAAGTAGATATAACTAGCTAAAAACTAGTGTGAGCTGCGTCGGTGTTTCTAATGAAACAGTAATGATGAAAAGGTAAATTATACACCGTGCAAAGATGAAAAAACTTACTGACGTTTCGGACGCTAGTCCTTCGTCGGAGTAAAAGAGAAAGAGGTGGTAGAAAGGAGTGTATATATGATAGAATAAGACAAAAGAAACCAATGAGAACAAGGTAGGCAAGGAAACAAAAACAAACAATCAAAAGACAAAAGAAAGGGTTAGTTGAAACTGAGTAAAGCGTTCATTAATCCCGTTGGGACTAAGAATGCCCAATAGGTGAATAAGCCGCATTTCTTTGGTCTTGCGACAATCATCGTTGCCGTTAATCAAAGAAAGACCGAAAACAATGAAGTCAGAAAGAGAATGGTTAGCTAGATTAAAATGGCGGAAAACTGGTTTGGTGCGATCACCCAGACGGCGGCCAGTCTCGCCCACATACGAAAGATTACAGCGGGTACATTAAATACAATATACAACATTAGAAGTGGTACAAACAAAATGGTCAGTGATTTTAACAGTGGATTTAGGACCGACAACAGAAGTGTGAGAGGCTATGTGAGGACGTCAAGTATAACAACGTTTACGAGAACAGCGAAAAGTACCTGGTTCTTTGTTAGAGGGAAGAACTCCCTTGACCAAGAAAGAACGAAGATTACGATCACGTTTATAAGAAAAAAGAGGGCGGTTGTTGAAAATAGCAGAAGAGCGAGTATCAGAGTCAAGCAGAGAAAAGTTGCGGTTAACAATGGGTTTAATGGAATTGTTAATAGGATGATACGTAAGAGTGAAAGGAATGCGRTCATTAGAGGGACGAGTGTGGGGAGTGAGAGCGGTGGCTTATTTTAAGTGTTGTAGAACAATAATACCGATTCCTGGTAAGAAATAATTGTAAACGCTTTACTTTACCTCATTTTTTTATCATGAAATTTAAAAAATGTATATTTTGCATTCATCAATCCCGGACCCAAATAAAGAGCGTCTTCACACGCACTAACATGACTAGTTTTTACGGAGGGATAAGCACTGTGATTAAGTTGTTTTTTACTTACAAAGATATCTCCAGGCTGCATACTAGCGATAATCAAATATACCACATCCTTATTCAGTGTCCCAGATTCGTGTTTCAACCTCATCAAATCGAGCAACGTAAAAGAGTCCAGTTGCATTTTCTTTTCCAAGACGAGCTGTGTCTGATCCTCGTCTGAGTGTGAGGCATATTTGGGATCATTTACTGGGACTGTTTGATTATCTTCGTTGGCGTTATCGTCGTCTACTTCGCAGTATTGTGAATGACCTTTAGCGTGAGGCATATTGGAGTAAGAGAGCGCCATCACCTCAATGATCCGTTCTTTCGCGCTTTCACCTCGTGTGGATGACTTGTTTGTTTTGTTTTCGGTATCACAATCACTGTCGGACCTGAAAAAAGGAAAGAAAAGGAAATGCATAGATCTTCGTCGTTTTTTAGACCCTCTCAGAGATGCTTTGAGGATTATGTGTTTTTTGGTTTTCCTTCATTTGCAAAAAATTAGCACTCTGTTTATACAGTGAGCATAAGAATGGCGTGAAGTGCGCTGCTAAATTTGAGCCATCTTTCATTACTGTGGTCGTTCATGGACTATCATTGTGAATTGAGTTTCTTATTGTTTTCTCCTGTACTTCTAAGGATTTTCTGAGGGTTCTCCTAGTTTTTTCCTATTCCAAAAAATCTGCTAAGCTTTCAAATTTAAACGAAAGTGAAATATCTAGAACAAGGGTAGTGTAACGACATTTTCTGTTGCCAACCTGCCTGCCTGCTAACAAAGTCAACTTACGATTCATTTTCCAAGTCATTACTTTCGTCAACTTTCTTCTCCTGGTGCGCAAAGCTGAACGCTTCTTTGAAGCCCTTCTCAAGATCCTTTTTCCACACATCAGACGAGCTGTTCTGGTTTCGCAGACCTTTTCTTCCAAACATCGTAAAGTAGGGCTCGTCAAAAACTACCTTTCTCGGTCCAAACGTCCCTGGGGGAAGGCTGAGGTTCAAGGCCTTGATGACAGAGCACTTTCCCTGTGATGAGTAAACAAGTTAACTCAACCATTTTTTTCATCTACTTTTCTTTTGTATCAAGTTCTTAGCTGGAGCTAATTTTAAGTTTTTAGAATGAGAGCATTATAGTAACATACTCTGTTCTTGCTATTTTTCTTGCTCGTGAGGTCGGTCACTGCACCGATTTGAGATTAAGGCTACGGCAAATTGTTTTTCAAATACAAATTATAGAATCGCTTCCAAATAATATCATTTTCGAAATCTTATATCATGTGACCTTTAAAAAAACAATATATAGTTTAATAGAGATTTGTTGACCGTGTTTCGTAAAGAGAGTTTCAACGAAACCCTGAAGGTCTAAAGGTCTCCAGTAACCTTTAAATTCTCTTTGTGCCCCACGATTACACAAAGTTAGGGTACACCAGACTTGAAACTATCGTTTTTGATGTCTCCTTGAAATTTTGTACTAGTCTAAGGCAACATTGAACATCATCCAACACCCACGTCTACGCACTTGAGGGACTTAGAGGGAATGCAGTACAGAAAATCCTCGTAATTTTCTCCGATTAGCCCTTTAGTTTAGAGGTACGGTTTTCGATTCAGGTGCGAGAGATCGTGCATTTCCTTTTTGATGCTTCTTTTCAGTTAACAAACCCTTGGTTCTCCGCAATTACATGATGGTAGGATATCTCAGACATGGGACGATCATTATTATTTTTTATGACTCCTCTATTAAATTTTGCTCTAACCAAAGGTAAGCATACGATATGGCGAACAAGAAGGTCTTAGGAGTTAAATTTAACTATTATGCACGTTAAAGTTTGTTCTAACCGAGGGTAACAATACTATGGTGTACATTTGCAGCTAAATTGAAGTAACGGCATGCAGGAAAAGACACAAAAAAAATCCTCTTTAGAGCAGCAATCGGTCCGTTGGTCTAGTGGTATGATTTGCACTTAGGGTGCGTGAGATCCCGGGTTCAATTCGCGGACGGGCCCTTTCACTTTTGATGATTCTCTTCACTTAAAAACTTCTTGGCCGCAGTACCCCGCAAGTTGATATAAGTAATGATTACCTCTGATTGTTTTCACTTAAAAGCGTCTTGGTACCCGGCAATTACATTAAGCATAGCACAGAATTGCCCATCAACTCTGGTCATTTCCAAATGAGGGATATTATGTGAAGAATGGGGAAGCATTTTTTAAAGAAACACTGTAATATCTTCATACTATTAAAAGCATTTGAAAAAAAATTGGAAAAAACGATTAAAAATATTTTAAAGCAAAATTCGCGGGCATTTTCTCCAAATTAGGTACCAGTCTCCACTCGGACAGCTTCTCGAACCAGTAACAAAATATATGCTGAGTTCGTGAGCAAATATGTCCGTTTTAAAGCGAGATCTGGAGACGAAATTATGGATATTGAGCAATATAGAGGCCAGGTTTCTATGACTATACAAATGGCGGTAGAAGGACGATTTCTTATATCAAAAAAGCACTGGATGTCGTCATTTTGGACTATTTTGCTTTGTTGTGTCAAAGTTAAAACTCCTGAAAAATCGCTACTTGGTTTCAGCTTCAAAGAGAGCGGAATTTTGGAAGCAATTAAGCAATGGTTGGGCAACCAATTTCAGTTGTTACTGGAACTGGAATCTAGTAATTTATTCTCTAATTGATGTGTCACTCAATTCTTTTTGATATCCCTTCAAAATTGTGTTCTAACCCAAGGTAACCATACCATTATGTAAACTTGCAGGTCTCAGCATTTAAATTTAAGTAACACATAAAAGGAATGCGCACCAATTACGTTCATCAATCGGCCCGTTGTAGGGTTACAATTAATTCTCAATTAGAGTGGGACAAGTCCAGGGTTCAATTTCCGAACGGGCCCTTTTCTTTTTGATGATTCTTTTAACTTATAAGGCTCTTGGTACCCAACAAATATATGAAATTAGGATACTTGGGATTATGGTTTTTGATGGCTCCTCTACATTTTGTCCTAAACCAATTAGGTAAATATACAAATGTGTACGTATTGAGGTCTAAGCACTTAAATTGAAGTAACATGCTGAACAAAATCAATACAGACATATTCTAATTTCATCTATTGGCCTGTTGGTCTAGTGGTATGATTCTCGCTTAGGGTGCGAGAGGTCCCGGGTTCAATTCCCGGACAGGCCCTATTCTTTTTGATGACCCTATTCACTTAAAAACCTCTTGGTACCCAGTAATTACATGACAGTAGGATATCTCAGACTTGCGACTATCTTCTACCTTAGAATTGAAACTATCTTTTTGGATGTTTCCTCGCAAATTTGTTCAAACCGATTTCAATCTTTGCCTAATGTAAACATGTAGCAGTTAAATTGAAGTTCTAACACGCAGAAGATATACGGTCGATAGACCCTAATTGCTTTCTTCCATTGGACCGTTGGTCTAGTGGTATGATTCTCGCTTTGCGTGAGAGATGTCCCTGGTTCAATTTCAGGACTAGCCTTTTACATTTCTGATGATTATATTCATTTAAAACCTCTTGCCAATGGTACCACATGCCCTTAAATGACGGTAGGATACCTTAGATTGAAATTATTGCTTTTGATGAAAGAAGTCTCTGTTTCAATTCCAGGAGTGGCCTTACCTTCTTCATGATTGTTTTCACTTAAGAATCATACTTGTAATGGTACCACGACCTTACATGACGGTAGGATACTTTAGATTTGAAACTATCTTTATTGATGTCTCCCCCAAATTTTTGTTCTAACCGAAGGTAGTTAAATGGAAATGACATGCTCACGAAATGTCGCATAAACAGATCCTGAAATATGTTATGAATCGGCCCGTTGGCCTAGGGTTCAATTCCCGGACGGGCCCTTTACCCATTTAATGATTCTTTCTACTTAAAAACGTCTTGGCAATGGTACCACGCCCTTACACGACGGTATTGTACCTTAGACTTGAAACTATGTTATTGATGTCTCAACCAATCTTTTCTCTAACCGAAGGTAGCCATACAATAATGTAAATTTGCAGGTCTTTATTGCAGTTAACTTAAAGTAACATTCCCACAAAATGTGGCATAAGCAGTTCCTAATGTTATCAATCGGCCCGTTGGTCTAGTGGTATGATTCTCGCTTAGGGTGCGAGAGGTCCCGGGTTCAATTCCCGGACGGGCCCGTTTCCATTTTGATGATTCTCTTTACATAAAATCATCTGTGCCATGGTACCCCGCAAGTTGATATCTCGAAGAAATTTTGCTGCAACCCGAAAGTTATCATAACGTCTCAATTGTTTTCAGTTAAAAACGTCTTGATACCCGGCAATTAAATGAAAGTAGGATATTGCAGAATTGAGAATATCTTTTTGATGTTTCCTCGACATTTTGTTTTAACCGAAGGTAACCATACCATCATGTACACTTGCATTTAAGTAACATAAAAAAGAAATGCATGCGTACCAGTAATTAGTAGTAGGGGTACAATTAATTTAAATTTCTTTTTAACTTAAAAACCTCTTGCAATGATGCCAGGCCCTTACATGACGATAGGATATCTCAGATCTCAGTCTTGCAATTATCCTTTTTTTGGCTCCTTAAAATTTTGCTCTGGCCAAAGGTAATTTTACTATAATGTAAACATGCAGGTCTTAGGAGTTAAATTTAACTAACATGCAGAAAAAAATGCGGTGCAAGTAATTGCATCCATAAATCGGACCGTTGGTGTTATTAGTGGTATTATTATCGCTTTGGGGGCAAGACGTCCCGAGTTCATTTCCCGGAAAGGACGTTTCCTCATGGTACCCCGCAATTGCATGAAATTTATTAGGGTGCCTTAATATTGGGACTATCTTTTTTGATGTCTCATCGAAAATTTGTTCTAATCGGAGTTAATCTTTTTATAATGTAAACATGTAGGTTACAGTTGTATAGTAGATACAATGGAGCTGTAACAAGCAAAACATATGTGATAGATCCTACTACAATTCATCAATCGGCCCGTTGGTCTAGTGGTATGATTCTCTCTTAGGGTGCGAGAGGTCCTGGGTTCAATTCCCGGACGGGCCCTTTTCATTTTACTAAAAAACCTCTTGGAATCACGCAATTGATGGGTTCCAAGCTTTCCCAAAAGAGTCAAAAGACACGTACGCCATTTTTGGTACCGTTGACGATGGATACTTATGAGTATTTTTTATTTTTATTTTTCTGTTAAATGGCACCAGCATGGTCGCGATCACGTAACGTACAATCGAGGAACTATTACATTGTACCTCAGGCCCGGAAGGTCCCCTCATTTTGTGATGCTTCTATTCACTTGAAAATCTCTTGGTCAACGAAACTACATGACGAATAGGATATCTCAGACTTGTGACTATACTATCTTTTTAGATGTGTCTCCTCGAAATATCCCAGTTTCGAGTTCTCTCGCCTAGCCTTAATCTCGGTTGTGTGTTACAATATTCAGTTATTCAACAAAACCCGGTGGAATTTTAATCAACTCCTATTGCTCCGTAGTGCGTACATTCCGAAGTATTGTGCTCTAACCAAAGGTACCGTACCATAATGTAAACATGCAGGTCTTATGAGTTAAATCTAGCTAACATGAAGGAAAGTAAATGCGGTACAAGTAATTACATCCATAAGTCGGACAGTTGGTGTTATTAGTGGTATTATTCTCGATTTGGGTACGAGAAGTCCCGGCTTCATTTCCTGGAATAAGTCCTTTCATTTTTATTGCTTCTTTACAATTAAAAACCTTATGGTACCCCAAACTTGCATGAAATTAGGATGCCTCAGCCTTGGAATAATTTTTTTTTTATGTCCCCTCGAAAATTTGTTCTAATCGGAGGTAATCTTTTTGTAATGTCAACATGTAGGTTTTAGCAGTTAAATTGGAGCTGTAACATGCAAAACATATGCGATAGATCCCCAAATATCTAATCAATTGGCCCGTTGGTCTAGTGGTATGATTCTCGCTTAGGGTGCGAGAGGTCCCGGGTTCAATTCCCGGACGGGCCCTTTTCTTTTCACTTAAAAACCTCTTGGAATCACGCATTTGATGGGTTGTAAGAATTCCCAAAAGAGTCAAAAGACAACAACATAGCGGCCATTATGATGCCGTTAACAATGGATGGTAATGAGTAATCTTTTGTTAAATGGCACCAGCATGGCCTCGATCACGTTAACGTGTAATCGAAGAATTGCATGGTAGCTCAGGCTTGGGACTATATTTTTTGATGTCTCCATCGAAATTTTGTTCTACTAAGTGGGCCTTACCAACATTTACAATCACGAGGGTATCAGCACTAGAATGAAGTAATAGAACGAAGCGGGTACAAACAATCCTGTTTTCTATCATTAATAGCAGTCCATACTAGTGGTATGATTTTCGCTTCGGGTGCTAGAGGTCCCGGGTTCAATTTCCGGAAGGACCTTCCTCCATTTGATGAACTTCATCTCGAGTCGCATCCCGGCCGGTGAAAATTGTCACGAACAAAGGCACGCTTAACTAGGTATTGTAAGTTGTGTAGTTTGCTAAACCAATATGAAAGAGGTCCTGTTTCAATTCCAGGACGGGCCCTTTCCTTTTTGATGATTCTTTTCACATAAGAATCATACTGCCAATGGTTACACAACCTTACATGACGTCAGGATACCTTAGACTTGAAACTATCTTTCTTGTTGTCTCCACCAAATTTTGTTCTAACCGAAGGTAACAACCAATAACACAATATTGTAAACTTGCAGGTGTTTTAGGCATAAACAGATCCTTATAAAAATCATCAATCGGCCAGTTGGTCTAGTGGTATGATTCTCGCTTTGGGTGCGAGAGGTCTCGGGTTCAATTCCCGGACGGGCCCTTTAACATTTGGATGGTATCCCGCAAGTTGATATCTTGTCGAAATTTTGCTGCAACCCGAAAGTTATCATAACGTCTTGATTGTTTTCAGTTAAAAACGTCTTGATACCCGGCAATTACATGAAAGTAGGATATTGCAGAATTGAGAATATCTTTTTCATGTTTCCTCGAAATTTTGTTTTAACCGAAGGTAGCCATACCATTATGTAAACTTGCATTTAAGTAACATAAAAAAGAAATGCTTACCAGTAATTAGTAGTAATTAGTAGTGGTACAATTAATTTAAATTTCTTTTTGATGATTCTTTTAACTTAAAAACCTCTTGGCAATGGTGCCAGGCCCTTACATGACGGTAGGATACCTTAGATTCAAACTATCTTTTTGATGTCACTTAAATACACTTGGTACCCCGTAATCAAAAAAAGGTAGGATATCTCAGACTTTCGATTATCCTTTTTTGACTCGAGGCTAAGACTGAGCAAAGGCGAACTCGAAACGGAAGGATTGTGCTCTAACCAAAGGTAACCATACTATCATGAAAACATGCAGGTCTTAGTAGTTAAATTTAACTAACATGGGGGAAAAAATGCGGGACAAGTAAATGTATCCATAAATCGGCCCGTTGGTCTAGTGGTATGATTCTCGCTTTGGGTGCGAGAGGTCCCGCGTTCAATTCCCGGACGGGCCCCTACATTTTGTGATGCTTCTATCCACTTAAAAACCTCAAGGTCACCGAAACCACATGATGGATAGGATACCTCAGACTTGTGACTATACTATCTTTTTAGATGTGTCTCCTCGAAATATCCATCCCAGTTTCGAGTTCTCTTTGTCCAACCTTAGTCTTTGTTGTGTGTTATAATATTCAGTTATTCAACAAAAACCCGTGGCATTTTAATCAACTCGTATTGTTCCGTTCCCTTACTATACAATTAAACTAACTTAAAAAAGAACACATTTGTACACAATCGAGGCTAAGACTGAGCAAAGGTAAACTGGAAACGGAAGAATTGTTCTCTAACTAAAGGTAACCATACCATAAAAACATGCAGGTCTTATGAGTTAAATCTAGTTAACATGCAGGGGAAAAAATGCGGTGTAAGGAATTGCATCCATAAATCGGACCGTTGGTGTTATCAGTGGTATTATTCTCGCTTTGGGGGCAAGACGTCCCGAGTTCATTTCCCGGAAAGGACGTTTCCTTTTTTATGCTTCTTTTCAGTTAAAAACTCATGGTACCCATGAAATTAGGATGCCTTAACTTTGGGACTATCTTTTTTGATGTCTCATCGAAAATTTGTTCTAATCGGAGTTAACCTTTTTCTAATGTAAACATGTAGGTTACAGTTGTATAGTAGATACATTGGAGCTGTAACAAGCAAAACATATGTGATAGATCCTAATACATTTTATCAATCGGTCCGTTGGTCTAGTGGTATGATTCTCGCTTAGGGTGCGAGAGGTCCTGGGTTCAATTCCCGGACGGGCCCTTTTCATTTTACTAAAAAACCTCTTGGAATCACGCAATTGATGGTTACAAGCTTTCCCAAAAGAGTCAAAAGACATGGCCGCCATTTTTGGTACCGTTAACGATGGATACTAATTAGTATTTTCTATTTTTATTTTTTTGTTAAATGGCACAAGCATGGCCGCGATCACGTAACGTACAATCGAGGAACTATTACATTGTACCTCAGGCCCGGACGGTCCCTTCATTTTGTGATGCTTCTATTCACTTGAAAACCTCTTGGTCAACGAAACTACATGACGAATAGGATATCTCAGACTTGTGACTATACTATCGGGACTTTCTTTTTTGATGTCTCGTCGAAATTTTGTTCTGCTAAGTGGGCCTTGTCAACATTTACAAACCCGAGGGTATCAGCTCTAGAATGAAGGGACAGAACGAAGCATGCACAAAAAGTCCTGTTTTCAATTATCAATAGCGGTCTGTTGGTCTAGTGGTATGATTCTCGCTTTGGGTGCGAGAGGTCCCGGGTTCAATTCCCGGACGGACCCTAAACTTTTTGTTTATTTTCATCGCGAGTCGAATCCCGACCGATGAAAATTGTCAAGAACAAAGGCACGCTTCACTAGGTATATATGAGATCAACAGTCAAGTCATGATCAGTTGTGATGGCTGAGGGTATACTAAAAGACGTCAATATTTTGCCTAGAGATTGTAAAACTAACTATAATTTTGATCTTCTCGAGTCTCGTGCCAGCATTAGGTATAACATTACTATGCTCCACAAGCTCAACAAGTAAGATAGAATATATCTAATAGAGTATAAATTGCTTCTATTGTTTACTTTCCTTTGAAAATAAAGGAAAATTGCCTCGTAATCCTTGTAATACTCTTTAAAATAGATACTGTGTAGTTGCTTGTGGGCCAAGATCTTAATTCCACTTAGAAAAAGTGCTGCGGTGTTTATTGTCTCTATATTAGAAAAATTTAGCATCAAGAAATGAACAGCGTATTTTTTTCGTGCGCGCCCCTTGCTCAACGTAGTTAGCGTCCTGGACAGGACGTACTTTGAGGACGGCGCACGTACGAAAAAATGCGTTCGCGCGCGCCGTCGTCTTTTGACATTCGCGTCTTGATGCTAAATCACTCTATTGTCTGACGGGGAACCATGATGGCCCAATGTCGTTGGCAAAGGAGCCGGGGAGGAAATGAATATGGAAATAGAATCTTAAGGAGGAATTGGCTTACCTTCATCTTTCCTTTATATCATAATGTAACAAGAGCCGGTTTATTGAAAAAATCTTCAAAAAAGAAAGGGCCCGTCCGGGAATTGAACCCGGGACCTCTCGCACCCTAAGCGAGAATCATACCACTAGACCAACGGGCCGATTTTAATAAAGGAATAGCCTCGCATTTTCAGACAAAACGTAACTTTGATCGCCCCAATCTGAACTTTTTTCAAAATCCAACAATCTAATCTATAGCCCTACCTGCATGCAAATGTAAATCCATTCTGTCTCCTTGCTGCTGTCTTTAACAATGATTTTATTTGACTTCCACTGAGTAAAGAAACGTAAAAGAACAAAAAATATTAACTTCCCTTGTTAGGTATTCTATTCAATTCTTTAGTGTTTTTAGTAGTGTAAGGAAGGGAATTAAAATTTGTGTTAATTTATTTTTCATAAAAATGAAAGAAAATTGGGTATCAAGGGTGGCTTACGCTGCTAGAACGTCGTCATATTCGCCACTTGTTTTAACGGTACGGGTCACTGGTTCGAGCCCTGTGGTCACCATGAGTTTGTTTGATGTGTTGTTCCGGCTCCTATATTACGAAGATTTTCTCCCGGTTCTCAAAATGTGAGTTGAGCGTTGTGTGCATAGAAAATTAAATGTAGTGGTAGTGTGTGTGAGTGAAAAGCTTCCCATAACAATAAATTATTTTTTAATTGGTATTCCTTACATTTCGCCCCGAACTCGGCTGCTAGCTCTCGCTATAAGTCTAAAATACCGCTGTGTTGCTTGATCTATCACAGACTCATTTATTGGGAGTTAGCCTCATTTCAGTGTCAAAATATTCACTGAAATATCCAGGTAAAGTAAACAAGAAATCCGTGGGCCTTCACTTAGACACATAATATACTTACCTCTTGAACTTGAGCTTCAAAACAGATGTTTCTAAGCATGTCATCTGTCCATGCGTGGAAGATATCCAAACTCCTGTTGATAAAGAAAAAACGTTTAGTTCACAGGACCATTGTATTTAATTACTTCCTCTTTCTTGGGATTTCTTTTTGCACATTTGCACACCCTGAAAAAAGCTTGAAAATCAACCTACCCATCTTGTAAACGTTCTGGGAAGTAGGATTTCCGTCCAATGATCTTGAATTAAAATTTTATCCAAACCTCAAGGTTATTCCATTTTTTTTCCCTCCTCGTCTTCGCTTTTTTCAGGGGTTCCAAACCATGGTGTTCAAAAATTATAAGGAATAGTTGATTTGAAGTTACAAACTTGGGGGCCGTTCACACTAGCCATTTAGATCGATCTGAAATAGCTTTAAAGACAAAAGGACCAAACATGAAAGGTCCAAAGCGAATCCGGATCGGTTCGAGATCGATTTAAGCTAAACCACATCTATAGAGTAAGTATTGGATCTATCTAAAGGAACTCGTATGCATGTAATTGTGAACGCTAACTGGCCAGACCAAATTAAAACAACAATCATGCACGTGAATGCTAGCTACTTTTGAATGGTTTTCTTTTGAAAGAGCTCTTAAAATGGTAAAAGTAGTACGCTAAGAGATAGAAAATTAGATAATCGAGGAAGAGTGGGGGCTGCAGGAATTTATAAAAGAAATAAAAATAAATCACTTTTATTTAAGTGTCTAGTCGTTCTAGTTCTTTCGCACTAATTGGGGACACTTTTCGCTCACACGCACTAACACTTCATGCAATGTTCTAATCACACATCGCTGAACTCACATGTTGATTTTTGGAGGAAGGAAACCGGAGAACCCGGAAAAAACGCTCGTAGCATAGGAGAGAACAACACATCAAACAAACTCAATCCACATGTGGCGACCGCAGAACTCGTCGCACAATACGTTGCACAATACCATATCTTTATATTGTAACGACAGCTGCACGCAAATTTTGTTTTTGCTTGATATTTCATTCCTGAAAGGAAAGGTTGCACGATGAAGTGCTTGCTCGATATTTTGGGGGGATTTACGCAGCCGCCTCCTCAATTATCAAATGGTCCACGTCTAAGGTGAGATATTGAAGAAAACACATAATAAATACCCGCATATTGCGAGTCGTATATGCAAATATGCGTGTCAATTAATGGACCCTTCCATCGAGAATAGACAAAATTTACTCAACTATCCCCGTACGCTGATGACTGATGATACAGCTTTATACTTATATTTCTCCTCTTCAACTGCTGAAATTGAAGATAACATTAATGACGATCTCAAAGTAGTTGGTGATAAACTAGATAATTTAACAGTAAACTACTCTTAAGATTAAAATTAAAAATTGGTTTTCAACGCATACTCACTCCTTTCCATGTGGGATGCATTTAGTAAAACTAGACGGAACGTCCATCATAGTAAATTTAATCTATTGCAAAGTTTTTCTAATATGAAAATATTATTTCGGGATTTTTACTTTTTGATTCGTTAAAAAAGGACCATACTTCCAGACATTGAATGCTGAACCGTCGTATGGCAGCGCGAAGCATTTACGGCTACGCAGGAGATTTCGACCCCAACACCGCTATCCGAAGATTTACAGACTGATCAGGAAGCTCGGACGAATACTAAGGGAGGGGTTAGTCGGCCCCTAGACCGTAGATGATTAACGCCTTGCTATGACCAGCATACTCAAAAACCTTGATTTCGACGCTGATTGCTTTGAGCGCACACTCACTTCTTTCCATGTGGGATGCGTTTATGAAAACTCTTATATGTATACTGTGTATATTCTGCACTAGTTCCCAAACCCATAGATATTTTGGTAGCCGGTTTTGATTAGACAACCCGCTGTGTTTGTTTTGTATATTTATGGTCGTTTCAGTGTGAACACTCGAAAACTGAGCTCTGATTGATCTCAGATGTATACATACTAGATCGATCTAACATGGACCTAGTGATGGACCTAGTTGATGCATCAACCGGTACGATTGTGTTGCAATCCTCCCCCACTTTTCGTCCGCTAAATTTGCGCGAATTTCCGAAAAATAAAATTGCAAAATAAAAAAAACAATGTTGAAGACTTACTTGCAAAATCTTATCTTGTCTCCAAGCTCTTTGTCATAAATCTTGGGACATGTTATAGAAAACACGTCTCTGTCAATAACCAACAGCTCCACGTCTTCTCTCACAACGACAGATGCGGTTCGTTTGATCTTGCGTAAAAGAGCTAGTTCCTATCACCACGAAAAATAAATAAATAAATAAGTCAGTCAGTCAGTCAGTCAGTCAGTCAGTCAGTCAGTCAGTCAGTCAGTCAGTCAGTCAATAGCGGTGAACATATAAAGAAAAAGCCCAGTGAAAATGACATGAAAAAAGCGAGAAGAACATAAGCTGCTATAGTTATTGGAAATGTTGCTGGTCTCCAGTTGTGTTTTGCCGCTCGAGCCAAGAGGTTGTGGTTGTGCTGTTAGTCGGAAAGAATTATTTTCAGAACTTTTGATCACCGGCACGAGATGAAAATCCCACACGAGACAGGAAATCAATTCTGCTTAAATCCGGGAATGCATTTTTACAATTGTGTAAATCTTACGCAATAGATTAGATTTCGCATACCTATGAAAAACTTAACACTGTGACTGTGACGCTGCAAATTGAACCAAAATATTTCCTGATTCAGTTTTGTCTACCATGGGCGTAATGGGCTTTTTTCACGCAGCAGCCATGTTGGTTTGATAAAGTAGATTCCACCATGCGTAGCTTCGCATTCAAGTGTTTGAGAATAAATCAATATGGATTAAACGACGGTATTTATTCTCATGAGAATATAGATGGCCGCCGTATGACAATTGTATACAGTCAATTCAAAAAATGTTATCGTCGACCAGCTCAAGCCTACGCTACTGGACCGAAAGGAACTCTGGGTAGCAATCATTGAAGCCGAGTTGACTCCATAATTTTATCTCACTAGTTATGCCTGGTTTACTGCACGAACCTTCCTAGGCGAGCGGGAAGTGTTGAAGGGGACGTTTTTTAATGCCTTCGTATTTTAGGGAATRTGAACTGAATCATAACTACTTTGTTTTTCTTTCCCTAAATCCGGAGACATGCATTTGATGGATTGTTTCTCGCCATTATTATCTTATTACTAGCGTGAACAATTTATTCAGAACGAATATTTAACCGCTTCAGGGATTTTTACCCATATTCGCTTTCGGTCCAGTCGCGTAGGCTTGAGCCGGTCGACGACAACGTTTTTTGAATTGACTGTATGCTTTCCCATTTTAGACCACGTTTCATTCTTTTGAGAATAAGGCTGTTTGGAATGTATTGTCTTCAAATGCATAAACGTTAAACCAAAAAAATGATACTCTAGGGCATAACACATGATCTGAAATGCAAAAAAAATCAAATCCTTGCTTCAAGACGAATATATTATCCGCCGAATGCGAAGTGAATGTCAGTGGAATATTTACGAAACCGCGAGTCTGCGAGCGACGAGGTAAATATCACCATGATCACTGATCCTTAGGGAAATAATTGTATGGCTTGATTTTAGATTGAATATCAGAGAAAATACGAAATTCACAATAAAGAGCGTTTTAGCATATTACTTCCGCGCTGGCAAACTTTGGGAAATCTGATAATCACCACTCAATCGAGCAGTGATTATCGTCCCAGAAACACTGGTCGCTCGACCAATCACAGCGCGCGAAACTCTATATTCAAGTCTAAAATTATACTAATGTCCATTATAAGCCCTGTCTTTGTTTACCCCAAAGCTGTCTCCTCGTCCTAGTACCACGGACGTGTGCCATACCACGTGACCTGATTTCTTCAACAGCTCCTCGACATTGACGAAGACAGTACCGGAGAAAATGAAATAGAATGCCAATCCTTCGTGTCCCTTGCGAATAATAACTCGACCATTCTCAATTCTGAAAAGGAATACATGAAGAAGATTATGCACAACTTGACCCTTATGATTTTAACATGAACATCTCTTATATTTATTACCTGGTCTTTCTCTCATAATAATAATAATTATTATTTATAATAATAATCTTTTAATAATTACAAAATATAATAACTCTATAGGCCTTACGTATATATAGATATCAAGCAAAATAATAACAATAATGTAATAATAATAATAAGTTTGTAAATCATTAATAATAATAATAATAATAATAATAATAATAATAATAATAGTTCATTATTTGTATTGCGCAATTTAACATGTTAATATGATCAACTGCGCATTACATATAGGTACACTAAAATACTAGGCATAAAATCTCTAAAAAACTACAAAAAGAGTATATAAAAGATTTAATAACTAAGGTCCAGTTTAGACGTCGAATCCCGCACGCGCCGAATCCAATGCAGACAAACCAAACATTAGTTTATCCATCTGCACTAGACCCGGCACGCGCGAAATTCCACGTCCAAACCGGGCCCAACACGTTAAAGCAAATGGGAAACTAATTTGTAAATATTATGTAAAAGGAAATATAATTAAAAGCTAGTCTAAAAAGGTGGGTCTTTAGCAAAAATTAAAACGATTAATAGGCCATTTGCAGGAAATATCACATGACTGCTAATGGATAGCAAACAACTTCGGACTTGCTTTGTTTAACTTTTGCTGGATTACTAATATCATATCTCAAACAATTTTCAAAATACTTTTCCCCATTTTTATTAAGATACTTTCAGTCTTAAGATACAAATCATTTTAAAGTTTGTTTGTCATTCAGCAGAGCCTTCCTCAAGAGACCTTTAGTTGAAGTGATTCGTTATCAAAGTGATGTATCAGCACGTGACTGTTGCAAATGGCCTATCCGAATTTGATCTGTGAGTAACCGTGCCCTGATTTTGATCAGCCCAAAGTTTGTTTCAGGGTTCATTCTGTAAAGATATTTTAGGGGATCAATCAAATTTGAAAGGTTTTTCAAAAAGGTTTTGCAACGAAACTACTTGGCTCTATATCTACTTACTTCTGATAGACCATAGCACGACACATTGCCATTTGTATCCTGTACGTAAACTTGTCGTAGGACTGCAACCCCTTCAGTAAGGAATGTAACTGACTCAGATCCAGGTCTGTTCTGTCCATTGGAGACTTGGACAGAATATGTTTGGCCCATTCTGGAATGTACGCATATTGCTGAAACGCAAATAAGGTTTATTTATCTATACAGGCTTCGTACAAGCGGCCCTCGGGTGTAAAAAGTAAAGAAAAGTAGCTTTATCATATATCAAGAGATGGTTCCACCATTATAATCTGGTCATATGAACGATAGCAGAACGTACAGGGCCACAAGTTTATCAGTTATGCGAGGAAGGAATGGATAATAATATATTATGAGGCTATTTAGGATTTGCATAATTTTGACATTAAAAACCATTTTAAAACGTATATATTTAATGGTACGAAAAGATTCAAGGAACTTACTGACTTTCCTTTCTGAAAAATCGTCATGTTGAATAAAATTTCTTTAGCCTCGGACGAGTGTTTCAGGGCGTACCAGGATCTCTGGGCAGCGGTTTCTGGTGTGTCGATGGTTGAGAGACTTGAGATGACTTTCAGGACTTTACATAAAATACGAACCACTCTTGCTGCCCATCTGAATTTTCTAATGGCCTGCAGACATTATGAATATAAAAACAATTTGTTGCTGTTGTTGTTGCTGTTGCTGTTGCTGTTGCTGTTGCTGTTGCTGTTGCTGTTGCTGTTGCTGTTGCTGTTGCTGTTGCTGTTGCTGTTGCTGCTGCTGCTTTTTTATTCTAGGTGATTGTCCTGCATTGTCGCTTTTTCTCAGATCCAACCGACCATCCAGCCAGCAGGTTCAAAAACTAAATCGATAAACCAAACAGCTGTACCCACCAACCAAAGACTAACCCACCCACCCAAAAACCAACCAATCATAACTCATGCAAGCCAAAGCAACCCCAAAGCAACATCTCCTTTTTTCTTCTTCGCAGATTCTGGCATTAAAATGGGTTCAACAAAACATTGCAAACTTTGGCGGCGATCCAAACAATGTTACTATATTTGGTGAGAGTGCTGGGGGMATGAGTGTCTCTCATCACCTCATCTCCCCCCTGAGTAAAGGTTTGTTCAAGCGCGTCATCGCGCAAAGTGGTTCATCTGCCTCTCCTTACACCGGAGCCAGAGTGACGTCTGATGAACTGGTGAAAACCTTTGCRAAAGTTCTTGAGTGTGATGTGAACAATGGATTGATGGATTGTCTCAGAAGCAAGAGGTAAAAGAAAAGAGAAACCAAATGATATAGAGATTTCGGTTCTTTTTGTGNGTTGCTGTTGCTGTTGCTGTTGCTGTTGCTGTTGCTGTTGCTGTTGCTGTTGCTGTTGCAGGGCAACGCGCAAAAGTGTGACCACATTTAATGTATTAATGCACGGGTTCTGTACACTATTAAAACGAGGCATTTCGATACAAAGCAGGCTAGTTTTACGAATAAGGCGTGCAAAGGCTCGTTTGGCAAGAAAAAGCCCGTGTATAGAAGTATGCGAATACATTAAAGGTGGTCATACTTTTGTGCGTTGCGCTGTAAGGTTGCTGTTAATGATGATTATGCAATCTCGTACCCAGAGCCTGGGTTTCTTCTGGCCTGCGGTGAAGAACGAGGGCTTGGCACAGCATAATCCATTTCATTTTGAGACCAGGATTTTTTGGACTTCCGGTTATAAGAGCGCATTGCGTTTAAACACTTGCCAAAAATATATAATATGTTCCAGATGATGCTGTTGTTTTCATTGTTTTGTTGTTGTGTTGCTGCTGTTGTGGTTGCTAGTTGTTTTTATTAGTGCTGCTGCTGTTGCTACTGTTCTTGTATAGATCTTTTTTGTTGCCGCATAATTGCTATTATTGCTGATGCAGCTGTTTGCTAATCAGCCTCTGTTGCTGTTGTTCAGTGCTCATTGCTACTTAATTTGCTTTTGAAGTAGTAGAAAGAATCCATTCGCGCATGACCATAAAAGCTATAATCTCAATAAGCTTTGTCTTAAGCGCGAATGATTCTTAAAATATATTTTACTGACTCGATTGTCATCAGTTAATAATTAATAATAACTTACAATCAGCCCTCTTTTCTTTCTTCTATCTGCTAACCATTTCTTTTTCTCCAAAAACAAGTCAAACGTTCCAGTAGTTGCTTTGATAGTAAGAAGAGCGATGGTAGCTCCCTTAAGCGTTTTCCTCTTAATTTTACGATCCTCATTCACCGTGGCAAGTTGTCTTTCTTTTTCCTTTTCTGCCTTCTCCTTGTCAGCTTGCATGATTCTTCGAATTCTTCTATTAGCAGACTGACTTCGTATTCTTTGCTTTATATCTATAACACCATCTCCTGAGAAATTCTTACCTCGYATATCTAAAATATCTTCATAAACCCACTTGGTGTTGACAGACTTTCTCAAGGTACCTACAGTAGTAGCTCTTTCAAGCCGTTCGTACGCCAAGGTCTCGCTTCGTTTATCTTCTCTCTTCTCCAACTGGTTTTTCTGACTGTCCTTCAAGAGAAATTCCATCAAACTCTGCTTTTGCTTTTCAGTGATTTCCTCTGATTTGTCAGGAAGAACTCCCTGCTCGACTCCTTCGTAACCAAACAAAGTCTCCTTGCCAAAAGATTGTAGAAAATGATTTCGACCAACATTGCTCAGTTGCTGCTCTACGGTTAGTGTTGGCGAGGTTGATGACGAAGGATGAGAGTTGAAACCTTTTCTCATTTGAACGACGGACGATTTCTTCCTTCTAACAGCGCTAGATGAAATGACAGACAGACGATGTCCATTTACCGTTCTACTAGGTCTCCTAAAACTTGGTTTTCCTGAAACTTCATCTGTACCATGAATGAAAGTTACCTTCAAGTTTCCCTTCGTGGCCATATTCCACGACACAATCAACAAGTTCTCGCTTTTAAGATTAAAAATTTGATTTTGTTTACGAACCGCTTTACATATTACGCCGAGAAGACATCTTAAGAATGCTTTAAGTCGATTTTCGTAATCATGATTAAACAAATTTGACAGTAAAAATCTCAATTAAAACAATTCATTGGACTGGCTTGACTTGAACGAAAAACCCTTTCTTGACACAGCTAAGAGTTAGATAATCTCTTTCGTAAAACCAGTCCAAAACTAACTAAAAAACGACAAATGAAGCACTTAATTTGATTGATACTCCGGAAGACGTACCAAAAAAAGGAAAATAATTGTTGTTATCGATCGAATTACATAGCAACCACAACGTAAACGAAGGTCTGTCGTTCGTGTGCAGCCTGGGTCTTTTGTTCAGTTCAATGGATACCGCCAACACTTAATATCATCAGAATCTCAAGAGCTTATCTTTATTGTTTATAGATTAGGGTTCATTGTTTTAATAGCTTACTAGAGTTATTTTATTGTCTGCATAAATAATAACTGAGCAAACAGAATGTTTATCAAAGACGAAAGCCCGTCTTGCTTTACACTTGAATAAAGTATAAAGCACGAGTTGGTGAATATTTTTTTGTTTTCAAAAGACATTTGATTGAAGGTTATTTTTTTGATACGGAGTATTAGATAATGAAGTTATTCTACCAAATTGCTGGGACCGAACAGGATTACATAAGACAACCAGCATGCGTATAAAGATAGGTTAACATGTGAAAGCATTTTTGGCTTCTATTGCAAAAATATTATCGATTGACAAAACACTACTTGACAAAGTGTACGGGGCCATACCTACCATGACGTCTTAATTTTTAACACTGAAAAGTGTGACACATCAACACTTTAGAATCTTTCTCTCTCTGGTAAAATAATATAGACAGAAATAATACAAACGCCTGTATGTCCCTTCTCGCTCCTTTTGATCTTCGCATCTAATATAGATCTATATATAGATATAGATTTTGTAAAATTTAAAACATACAGGGAAAGAGCTTTTTTGAGTGTCGGGAATAAACTGCCTTGCTTGTAATTTCATTTAGAAAATCCTCAACTAATCTTAAAATATTTTAGTAAATTGTTTGTCTCATTTTCTGCATTGAATGAAGTATGATTGTATTCAATCACTATGTGAATACAATGTATTAAAAGTGTGAAGTATATAAAAGATTATTATTATTATTATTGTTAATTATTACTATTATTAGTTCAGTAATTATTATGATTATATATATCATTTCTATATTCCTACTCTACTATATTATGCTATTATTATTATGGCAGTATATACTTCTGGATGCTCAGACCTAAGCTTTAAGGTAGTAAGGCGGGAATCGTAGCCAACTACCAAGCACACTAAAACCTAAAAACTCACTAAATAAATAAAGATCTAAACTAACTAAATAAAGTTCACTTAAAATAATTCAGAAATAGAAAAATAAATAAATAAAATAAATAAATAAATGAAATAAAAAATAAAATAAAAACAAAAAACAAGAAAAAATTTAGATTTTTAGCTTATTAA